CCTGTGTTTTGCTGCAGGACCACCCTTCCTGAGCTGTCAAGCAATCAGATGGCTACAATTTGTGCTGGAGAGTCCCAAGCAAACCAAGTTGTGAATCTAGGCTAGGTGCTGCTAATGCCAAGCCTATAATAGCTCACTTAGGCCAGCTCTTGTTTGATAAGATTTAGGAAGTTGTGAAGCATGAGCCAAGACCAGCCATTCATACTGCAAACCAGCTTGGGTGGGTGGGGCAGAGTCTCTAGGGATCTCTAAGGCGGGTCAAAACATTGTATGCCAGGTTGATGGAGTCTCAGGTATGGCACTAGCTTACTGGCTTTGTGGGGGGAGGGTTGGGAAAAGGGGCAATGGCCTTTACTTTCCTTGATGTTAGACACGAGTTTCTCCCTGTGTATCAGTGGTGCCTTTCAAATGGCAGTACACTGGTGTTGGAGCTCAGAGGAAGTGAGTCTGAGTAGGTGAGACAGTGTGGTTTCTTTTAAGAGGAACTGTTTTGGGCTCCAGAAGTTACTTCCACCGACTAAAATCCCCACTGGTTTTTGCAGCCAGAAGTTGTGGGGACTTACCTTCTGGCCTTGGAACCTTGTGCTGGGGGGTCTGATGTGGGGCTGGGACTCCTTGCTCCTAAAGATAACAAATTTTTGCCTACCGCATGTGGGTGTGGGACCAATCTGTTCTGTGTCTGAACCCCTCCCACTAGTCTCAGTGGAAGTGTTTAATGTCTTACTTGTCAGACTTCCATTTAGCTCAATTTCTGACAGTTCTGAGTGATGGTTCTATATTTCAGTTGTAGTTTTGATGTGGTGGGAAGAGGCGAGCGTGTCTGCTTATACCACTATCTTGACCAGAAGTCCACAAACCACTTTTGACATGTTTGATTATTTACCACACCTCCATACACTGAACAAATCTTTTTTGTGTGTTTCAGTTGCATTTTTACCTTTCTTGAAATAATAAATCATAATCTGAAAATGTTGCATGTTATCTTTCATCTTCAGTATTAAAATGGCTGCACAAAAATTCAGTTTTGGTGTTTTTTTAAAATGATATGACGGCTGTCACAATACAGTCTAATGAAATTGTTCTGAATGAAGTTAAAAGACAACTAAGCACTACTAGAGCCATCTTACAGAGAAAAACTAAGGGAACTTTTTGGCCAACCCAGTACTAGTGCACCTCTCCTCACTTCTTTTAACCACAAAACTGGATTGAAGGACCTCTCCTGGGAGTTCAATCTACTTTCCCCCTTTACATAAACAATGTAGAACCATGTTTGAGAATGCAAGGTATGGATATAGAAGGACCTAAAATCATGTAAATTTTGAATATTAGTAATGTTTGTTTTATTGACTGAGCAAACTTCTGAACTAACTTCTGTTTCCTCGACTAGAAAATGGGGATAGTAAGTAGTTACGTAAGGGTTGTGAATGTTAAGTAAGACAATATATGTGAAGCATTAGCATAGTGTTCCAAACCCCCTGGTCTTGGTAAATAGTAGCTTTCCCCAAACAATTCTGTTCTAATTCTGTTGGGAAATTTAAATGTTCTAAAGAACAGAATACTTGACTATTTTGGACACTTGGACATTTCATATTAGGGAGGTGACGGAGTTTGGTGTATTTATTTTTGAAGATTTTACTAATTTTTAGAGTGGGGAACGGAGGGAGAAAGTTGGAAAAATATATTAACATGTGACAGATTGGTTGCCTCCCTCATGCCCCAAACTAGGGACCTGGCCCACAACCCAGATATGTGCCCTCACTGGGAATTGAACCATTTAGTTAATGGGCCAGAGCTCAATCCACTCAGCCAACACCAGCCAGGGCAAGTTTGGTTTGGTTTACTTTTAACAGCAAGTTTCTGAAATTGTCCCCAGAATTTGTATTAATATCTTGGTAATGACTAATAACACAGAGGCAAGGTGGAACTAACTTTGGAGTAAAATGTCTTAAACACATCTTTCAGGTTTTTAACAGGAGGAAAAACTAAGAGGTTTGCACTATTCTCTGTCAGTTAATAGTCTTCTGATACAGGATGCATAGATTAATAACTTCATGTACAAAGTTTTTAAACAAAATTTGAAAAATACTGTTGAGTGTTTTGGTAAAACCTATTTACTTAGATTTTGTATTTGCAGTTTGAAAACTTAAAAGACCATGTACTAGGTTAAGGAGCAAAAATAGAAACCATATCTGTATACTACCTAGTTTTCAGTTATCTAAAGGAACTCTCTCCTATCCAGAATTGTATTTCAGAGGATGCAGGTAAATGAATCATTCTGTTGCAAGTCTCATAAATCTTAATATAAAGGTGCATGTTAAAATCCTTATAAGCATCCAGTAAAAAATAGTGCAAAGTGAGAATAGAGCTTACAAGAATCAGAATGAAACACAAAAATGACTGACCAAGTGAAGGTGGGGAAAGACAAAAAAGTATAAGAAAAATAGAAACAAATAAAAGCAAAAAGTGCTTTTCTCCTAAAACAGGAACAAACTAACAATGTCCACTAAACCTAATGATTCCAATAAATATATTAAATGTAAGAAACAAGTTCTCAGTTAAAAGGCAGTGATTGTTAAACTAAAAGGTGGAGAGACATTCATTAAGTACAAATATACAAATAGTTTGAAAGAAAGGATGGGAAAAGATGTGCCATGCCAGCGCTAATTATAAACTTGGAGTGATAATCAGTAAAAACAATTATGTGTGCATCTTGATAGTAGGGCTGTTAAAATCAACAAAAATTCAAAGTCACAATTACAGTTTGATATTTTAACGGCCCTGAGGAATTGATAGGATATATTTTAAATATGATCTGAATGACTATCAACTCCTTTGACCTAATTGATACTGTACAGTACGCTCAACTATTTGTCAAATGCACAAGAAAGTTTCTGTAAGATCATATGATGGGTCATACAACAAGTCTAAATGAATTTCAGATTATTGAGTCCTTGACCACAGGAAGTATATTGGGAGTCAATACAGTACAATAGGTAGGAAATATTAGAAAATTAAACACAAAATAGTAAAAAAAAATGAGACATTAGTATTTTAATCCAAGTGACAAAATACAAGGATTTGTGGAATTCGGCTAAAGCAATGCTTGGAGGAAAAGCTTGACATATTTAGGAAGAAACCTTCATTCAAATCAACCATCTTAATTTCTACTTGAAATTAGAAACATAAGGAGAAATAAAAAATTTACAAAGCCAAAATTTGATTTTTCAAAAAGTTAATAAATTGATAGATGATTAGTAAGAATCCAGAAAAAGAAATTATGAATAATCAATGTCATGAAAGGTGGACTATTTATGAGTCTATAGACCTTTAAAAGAATATTACGAACAACTTAAGCCAGTAAGTTTTACAATTTAGGTGAACAAATTCCTTGAAAAGCAGAACTTACCTTGCTGACTTTGAGTCAGCAAGACTGACTCAAATACAAAACCTGCCCTGGCTGGTGCGGCTCAGTGGATTGAGCAGGGGCCTGTGAAGCAAAAAGTCACTGGTTCGATTCCCAGTCAGGACACATGCCTGGGTTGCAGGCCAGGTACCCAGTGCGGGGGGACATGGGAGAGGCAACCACACACTGATGTTTCTCTTCCACTCTTTCTTCCCTTCCCCTCTCTCTAAAAATAAATAAATGAAATATTTTTAAAGATTTTATTTATCTTTAGAGGGGAAGGAGAGAGGGAGAAAAACATCAATGTATGGTTGCCTTTCGTGCATCCCCTGCTGGGAACTGGCCTGCAGGGAACTGGCCTGCAACCCAGGCATGTGCAGGGAATCGAACCCCGATCCTCTGGTTCGCAGGCCCGCACTCAATCCACTGAGCTACACCAGCCAGGTAAATGAAATATTTTTTAAAAGTTAAGTATTTAAAAAAAGATACAAAACTTGATTTGCACTATTTCTATAAAAAGCAATTTATATTTTTTAATCTTCCTAAAAATAAAGGTCCTGTGCCAGAAAATTACTGGTGCATTATAAACCATTTAAAAAAATATCTTCGAGAATCTTCAAAGAATTCAATCTTCAAGATTTATTGAGAGCAGAGAATAATTCTCTGCGATTCACCCACATATCTCTAATACGAGGCAGGGAATGAGGGGGAAACAGCTTAAGACCAACGTTTCATACATGTTACCAAACAGAAGTGGGATACGGCTGCGCACTGCCACCCATATAGGCAAATTCCAGAGGCAGAGGTTTGGTGGGAAAGAGTTCTTTCACCCAAAAGCTGCAGAATCTGGCGGGATGGCAGGCTTCTGCCTCAAAGTCCATCCCATCTGGAAAAACCAGCCACTCTATGTCAGATTAGTTGAAGGCTGTACCCAGAGTTCCTTCTTCCACTGAAAAAATACAATCCTTTGGAAACTGCAGGTGGCCGCTGCATGATTATCCAGAGAGCTTGGTTTGTTCCAGGTTGCATTCTGGCTTTAGCCTCTGCCAGCAGCAAGGCAGTGGCCCGCACATCTGGACCAGCGGTGGGTTCTAGAGAAAGTGGGGGCTCTCCCTTCCCTCGATTTATGTAATCTACGCCTGTGGGCCAGGCCAGGTGCTCCAACTTCCGCACGCTTTGGGAGGGTCCGTCCCTCAACCCAACCAATCCTGTCTCTTCTGAGGCTAGACTGACAGGTCTCCACCAGACTTCTAAGGGAGTAGAGGATTTTTCCCTTAGCCAATCTACGCTTGCTAGCCTTCTATAAACTCAGCACAACGATTTCCTCCCGGGGCCTCCTGAGGTGGTGGTGGCGAGGAGGGGGGTAGTGTATCTATGTTGCGTGTCAAGCTAGCCTCGTTACTCAGGCAACGCGGTGCTTCCTCTGCACCTCTCCCGTTGGCTCCTGGGGCACTGGCCAGGGTCTGGCTATCCAATATAGATAAAAAATCTTTAACAAAATATTAGAAAATAAAATTTATTAATACACAAAAAGGATAATACATCACAATCAAGTGGGGTTTATCGAAGGAGTACAACGTTGTTTTAACATCTAAAAGTCAAGGTAATAAACTGTTAACAATATATTGCATGATCATGTCTTTAGATAGAAAGTATTTGACCAAATGCAACACCCATTCATAATTTTGGAAACCCCAAACTCTCAGCAAACTAGAAATAAATAGGAGCTACCTTAATCAGATAAAGAACATCTATGGAAAGTGCAATAATGCAATGTATAATGTTTTATGCCTAAGCAAGAGCAAGGCAGAGATGACCGCTATCAACACTTGTACTCTTCTAAAGTAGAATTGATGAGATGACCTCGAATTCATGTGGAAACAAAGAACCTAAAGTAGTCAACATAAACTTAAAGAATAACAAAGATGTACACTACTAAACTTCAAGTTTCATCATAAAGCTACAGTAGTCAAAACCATGTAATATAAGCACAAGTACAATATAGATTAGTACAACAAAGAGAGCCTAGAAATACATCTACATATATATGGTCAACTGATTTTTGACATAAAAAAATCACCTAAGCAATTTAATATAGAAAGAAACATATTTTTAACAAATGGTTCTAAAACAATTGGATATACATTGCAAACAAAAACTAAACTTGACCCCTATCTCATGCCAAACACAAAAATTAGTTACAGAAGGATCATAGATCTACGTGAAAAAGCTACAACTATAAAGCTTTTAGAAGAAAGAATGAAAGAACATCTTCATGAGTTGGGGACTGGCAATTTTTTAGACAAAATATAAAACCAGGAGCCACTAAGGAAAAAAATTGATTAATTAGAGAATCAAAATCAACAACTTCTCTTCCTTAATAGACACCATTAAGAAAATGAAAAGGGTCCTGACTGGTGTGGCTCAGTGGATGGGCATTGTTGTCCCACGAAGCAAGAGGCTAGATTCCTGGTCAGTGCACATGCCCAGCTTGTGGGCCAGGTCCCTGGTTGGGGGCGTGCTACAGACAACAGATCAATGTTTCTCTCTTTCTCCCTTCCTTCTCCCCCTCTAAAAATAAAAAATAAATTAGATCCTTTAAAAAAAGGAAATGGAAAGGCAGGCCAAGACTGGGACAAATTATTCACAACTCATATGCTTGACAAAGGACTTGTATCCAGAATTCATTAAGAGAATAATACTAAATATTGGCACAATGATCAGTTGGAACGCTGTGCATGGGAATATAAAATCATAACACTGCTTTGGAAAAGTTTGAGTAACTCTTCATAAAATTAAAGATATCTCTGTCCTTCAAACCAGCATTTCTATTTTGTGTAGGAGAAATTAAAACATTCAACAGAAAAACTTGTGAGAAAGTATTCGTAGCCATTATATTAACAATACCCAGCCCTGGCTGGTGTGGCTCAGTGGATTGAGTGCTGGCCTGCAAACCAAAGTGTTGCTGGTTCAATTCCCACTCAGTGCACATGCCTGGGTTGCAGGCCAGGTCCCCAGTAGGGGGTACATGAGAGGCAACCACACTGATGTTTCTCTCCCTCTCTTTCTCTCTTCCCCCTCTCTAAAAATTAAATAAAATCTTAAAAAAACACAACAATAGCCAAACACAATAACCAAACACTGGAAACAACCCAGCTGTCCATCAACAGGCAATGGATAAACAAATTGTGATACATTTACATAACAGAATATTACTTAGCAATAAATAGGAACGAACTCTTTCAATTAACAAATGTGGATGAATCTCATATAATGCTAAGTGGAAGAAGCTAAATAAAAAGCTTACATATAACATGAATCAACTATTACAAAATTGTAGAACAGGCAAAACTAGTCAAAGGTGAAAATGGTCACAACATTCATTTAAAAGACAAGAACAAAAATTAGATGAAAAATTCTATATGTTTACAAATTTTAAAATGCACATCTTGATAACTCATGGGTTTAAAGAAATGATAATGGAATTTTTTTTAAGAATTAGAACTAGCCCTGGCCCATGCAGCGCAGTTGGTTGGAGTATCGTTCCATAACCAAATGGTTGCAGGTGCAGTTCCCCATCTGAGCACATACATACCTGTTGTGTTTCTGGTCCAGAACGGAGGCAACAAGCCGATGCTTCTCTCTCACATCGATGTTTCTCTCTCTCCCTCTCTCATTCTTCCTCTCTCTCTAAAAGCAATGAAAAAATATCTTTGGGTAAGGATTAAAAAAAAGAATTAGAATAAAATGATAAAAATAAAATGTATTAGAAATCCTGGGATGTAGCAAACTGTATATAAGGAGAAATGTTTAACCTTAAATGTTTATATTTGGAAACCAAAATGGCTGAAAAATCTAAATTATACACTCTCCATTTTAAAGACAGAACAAGAGTTATAGACTAAGGAAAAAGACGGTAAGAAAAAAGAAGGTGATAGAATGTTAAAATAATTTGGCCAAAAATGGATTCTTTGGAAAGGGTAATCTAGCTTTGGGAATACTGATCAAGAAGGAAGAAATAAAGTACAAATTTAAAAATTAAATGTAAAAATATGTAAGTACAGAGACAGAGATAAAAAGTCATTAACTGAATACTCTGAATAAATATTTGTGAATGAATTTAATAAATGAAGTTAATTACTGGAAAAATAAAGTGAACAAAAACTGACACAAAATGAAATGTAAAGCTGAATCAGTATTAAAAAAATTCCGTAACACATATAACACAAAGTTTATGATTTTGAGAGTTATTTTCACTAAATTTCAAGAAATAAACAATTCCAATTTTATACAAATTCTTCTAGAACATTGAAAAAGTGGGAACTTCCCCTATATACTCAATAAAGTCTGTATAACATGGATAACAAAGTAAGACAAGGGCAACAGAGAAAAGAAAAATTGCAGGGTTATTCCACTCATAAACATTGACACTAAATTTCTTACTTAAAGCTTGTTAGCAAGTTGAGTCTACTAATTTATGAAAAGATAATACAACATGTCCAAAATGGATTTACCACAGGCATGCAGTGATAAATTAACAGAGAAATCAGTAACCACTGGCAACTCACCACACATTGATGGGGTAAAGGAAGAAAAACATGAGGTCTTCTCCATGGATGCACAACAGCATTTAATGAAATTCAAGTAGTACTGAAAGATAAATATTCAAAGTAAAATATTAGCTAAAATAAATATTTTACATTGGATATTTGATATTAACAAAACAAAGTCAAAGGTACTAAGGAAAAACAACTTTTAGCAAAGTAGAAATGGAAGGGAATTTTCTTGAAACAACTAAGGGTATCTAGTAAAAACCTACAGAAATTTTTCTTAGTAGTAAAATCCCTAGAAGCATTTGTTTTAAAATCAGGAGCAAAACAAGATTTTCCAGTGTTGGTAGTTCTATTTAACATTATATTAGAAGTCCTAGTATTGTGATAAAACAATACAAACAATTACAGACATAAAAGTTGGAAAGGAATAAGTAAAGCCTGACCTATGTGCAGATGATAATGGTCCACCATGAAAATCCAAATAAAAACACGGAGAATTTGTTAGAAGTAAAAGACAGGTTAACAGTTTGGCAGATATAAATTCAAAAAACAGCCAACAAAGGAGTTCAGATCAACTCTCCCGTAGAAAATAAATAAAATGCTGGATTTTTTTCTTAAAGCTTTGCAGCACTCACAATGGCACATTACTTGGCCTAATGAGACAAGGTGAGTAGGAAGAACCTACCGCCACAGTCACTTTTGCCCGAGTGGAGGGATCTGCTACTCCAGAAAAAGTAACAGTGAAACTCAAATGTAACAAGTTTTATGAGTCATAAACATTACACTTTCATTTTCTAGTGATAAAAAGGTCAATTCACCAGGAAGATAGAAAAGTTTAAAAATTGTTTTTACCTAATAATATGATCTTGAAATACATAAAGCAATAATTTCCAGAATTCTAATGATAAATAGATTGATAAGCAGGACTTTATCACAATCAAGACCTTCTGTTCTTAGAAGGACACTACTCAAAGAACAAATACACAAACGACACACTGGGAGATACATAAAAACTCTAAAAACTCACTCACAAATGGGCAAAAGATTTCAACAGACACTTCACTAAAATAAATACAGTACACATAATTGTTATGTGGGTTTGTAGGCTATGCAAGCAAGTGTCATGAGAAAACTTTTGGGGGTGAAATACACACTCATTATCTTGATTTTGGTGATAGTTTCATTGGTTATACCCATGTCAAAACTTACAAGATTGCACACTTTAAATCTATGTAATTTATTTGATGTCAGTTATACCTCAATAAATTTGTTAAAAATAACATACCTTCCTATAAAGAAAATAGTAGGCCCATTTACCTTTACTGGTGACTTTTCCAACATATTAAGGGGAAAAAAATGACAGTCTTACACACTCTTTCAGGGAATAGAAAAAAAGAAGACACTTCCCAACCAAACCATTTTATGGGACCAGTTTATCCTTCATATCAAAACCTGACAAGGACATTACCAGAAAGAAAAATTATAATCCAATCATTCATGATTTAAATGTAGAATGGTAAATAGAATATTAGTGAGCTGACTTTAGCAATATTTTAAAATGTTAATACCTCAGAACCAAGTTGAACTTAAATTAGGACCAAAGACAATCTGGGTATATGTACAAGAGCTTGCTGAGTGGCCTGGTCTCAATCCGTGGCCCTCTTCTCTGTCCCTCACCCCACGGTGGTCTTACCCAAAGTCATGGGTTCGAATATCATCTATGGACTGGTGAGTCCCAGCCTGACACCATGCTCACCCTTTCCCCTCGTTCATCTAATAGGCCTGTCTACAGTGAAATCCATGTCCCTCTTTACCCACAACCTGTGCTTAACCCATCAGGCTTTCATATCTCATTTCCTTTTGCTGAGCTTTTAGACTTCAAACTTGGAAAGATTTGGACCTTCCTCACCCTCTTTACATTGAATTCATTCGTCACCTCTCATTTTCATCTTCAGATATGCCCAGAATCCAATTACTTCTCACTACCTCATTGCCAGGTGTTGTATTTTCATTATTTATCATCTCTCACTCCCTCACTAGCATGAAACCTTTGTGAAGGCATGTCCTCACCTCTTCCATTACTACTAAGTATCAGTAGTAAGGTAACATCACCTGACATGTACTAGGCACTCAATCAATATTTTTATAATGAATGACCTACAGTAACTTTTCATATATCACAAAAGCTTAAAAAGTCGATAGCAATTTTATGAGGGTGTAGGGCCACAGGCACACTGGGGGTGTGACTGTAATTTGTTACAGCTTTGTTAGACATCAATTTAATGATGTCTATTGAAATTTTAAAGATATATATCTTTTGACCCAGAAATTTTGTCTCTAGGAATTGACTTGGAGAAAACACACTGTACACAAACAGTAAGTACTAATATGGTGCAAAGTCATTGTCAGGGGGGAATTTAAGTTGTGTACAACTTGCAGTCAAAGTATATATTTACATCATATACATGTACTTTGAGTCCATAGGTAAAAAGATTCTGGAAGTCTACTTATTAAGCTGATAACAGTGAATAAATCTGGGGAAAGCTAAGGGGAGGTATCAAGGTGACCTTGTTTACTTTGTATTGATTTGAATTTTTAAAAATATATTTATTCCTTTCATATGTATTAAACTATTTAAAAGGACAAAAAAATCAAATGAATAGATGGAAAGTTGGTATTATTGGCATTGCTACTCGGTAGCTGCCTGCAGAGGGTACTAAATATCGAACTATTCCTAAATGATGATCTGGTTATATTCAACAAGGTCCCAGCAAATCACACTTAACTTAGTTACAACAGTTCTAATAGCTCAGCATAAACTTGACCTTTGTGGTAACAGATTATTGTTATTGACAGTGGCAGGCAGTGAATATAAATGACATGTTACCTATAACTAAGAGTTCTTGAGGGGTTAGCAGGTAATGTACATTTCCCCACACACCATATGAATAGGCTAATGTACAACTGGAAATGGCTCTCAGAACTTTTTACTGAATGTCTTAATCCTATAAAAGTACCCTGGAAAACAGTGAATATTATTGAAAACAGAGTGGGTTTCCAAATAGTTTAAGGTATTTAAAGTGTTTTAAAATATCGGAACAGAGTGTAACTCAATAAGCTCTGAGCAAAGCTGTGATGAGAATGTGACTATTTGCTGATAAACAGTCACGACTGTGGGAGGAAAAGCAAGCCCTTGAGCGGCAGGAGCCCGACTGACTCTCTGAGGGAGTGTCCAGGGGAGGGAGGTGCCCAGGACTGTGGCCCTTTAAAAACAGTTCTTTAGCATTTAAGTTACACTAATGATGACTAATTGAAATCATATACTTCTCTGGGAGTGCGAGATAGCAGAATTTTTACTGGGGGAATTTTTCTCACAACCATGGCAAGGAATTTCTGACATAAAAAACTTCAGAGTTCATGCTCTGAAATGTGCATGAACTGAAATGAAGTTACCACCTTCCAGAAAAATTGAGCTTTTTACTCCTCTAGATACAAAACCGCAACATTGCAAACAATTTTATTATGCTTTCTGGGAGGATGTTATGATGCGAAATTCTTATTGGCATAAGTCTAAGGTATGTAGCCCTTAGATTTTATTTGGAGTGTTTTTGTGACTGCAACTGCTGAGGTTGGAAGGGCAGTGCTCTTTTTTTTAAAAGATTTTATTTATTTATCTTTTAGAGAGGAAGGAAAGGAGAGAGAGAGAGAGAAACATCAATGTATGGTTGCCTCTTGTGAATCCCCTGCTGGGAACTGGCCTGCAACCCAGGCATGTGTCCTGACTGGGAAACGAACCGGCGACCCTTTGCTTCACAGACCCATGCTCAATCCACTGAGCTACACCAGCCAGGGCCCAAGGTCAGTGCTATTTGAAAGGTCCAGTGTGGTGCTAGGTGCTTTCCATATCTCTTCTCTGATATGATCTCCGCAACGTCTGGAAGGGAGTGATGTCTGTGTTCAACTCAGAAATAAATCAAGGCTCCAGGAGGTTAAGTTGGTTACCTAAAGCCCCACTAGAGGCAGAATCAGGCCAAATCCATGTCTGCCTTATTCCAAAGGCAGGCAGGGGCCCAGCACCCACACTGCCTTTCTGGGGTGGCCTCTTGTTGTCTCCCCTGCATCTTTACGTGATCTCGCATATTTCTGTTCTATGGGTTTCCGGGCCCAGACTAAGTTTGCTGAGGGCAGGAAGCCAGGCTTGTTCATGTTTGAATACTCAGGGTCCTGATGAAACTATCTTAAAATAACTTTTTATTTTTATCTTGGTCAATTTCTAAAATAAATTCCAATTTCTTACAGCAAGGAAGAAAGGCTTAAAGTTCTAAGGAAGAAAGTAATTAGAAATTGGAGGACACCGGGAGGGACATAGTTAAGGAAAAAATTAAGTTAATGGGATACCTCATCAGGCTGAATGTTTTGAAAAGTGATTTACATGCCAGTTGGCGATTTGGGATGAATAAGAGATAGGGACTTAGAAAACAAAGCAAATTGTTGACTCAGAGGTAACAAAAAGTTACACAAGAAATGTAATCATGGTATAGTTATATGTGGCTCATGTAACTATATTATTACATTAATATTTAGTTAATATTATTAATATTATTTTAATATTTAGTTAATATTGTAAGTATTAACTAAATATTACAGATAGTAATATTTATGTAGCTGCACTACTCGGTCCTCACATTGAACACCGATCTCACCCAAACTTGTGATACAACGATGTCGGGAGAATACGTATGTGTGCAGGTGGCACCTAGGGGAGGGGAACCACAGGTTTCTAGGGGAGCCAGTCAGCAGAGATAGCAAGAAGTAGCAATGTAAGCCCAGGGAACCATTATATTTCATTTTAAGCTTTTTTATTGTAAAACTTTCGACATTTAAAGTACACACACATTTTACTCTGAAACAGATAAAACTTAAATTATAAAAGGAAACTGAGTGCCAGCTGGGACTAGCTGTAGGGTAGAAACCACATCCTGAGTCAAACATTTAGACCATGAACAGCTTCCGAAGTGCTTCAGCTTGAATTCTTGCATGATCGGTCATGTGAACCATCAAATAATTTTTGGTGATTAGACTAAAATAAAAAATAAG